ACAGTGGCTCATGCCTGTAATCCTAGCACTTTGGGAGGCCGAGGCGGGCAGATCACCTGAGGTCGGGTGTTCAAGACCAGCCTGACCAACACGGAGAACCCATGTCTCTACTAAAAATACAAAATTAGCCAGGCATGATAACACACACCTGTAATCCCAGCTACTCGGGAGGCTGAGGCAGGAGAATTGATTGAACCTGGGAGGCAGAGGTTGCAGTGAGCCAAGATCATGCCATTGCACTCCAGCCTGGGTGACAAGAGCAAAACACCATCTCAAAAAAAAAAAAAACCGTCATCAATGAGAAAAAGTCTGAACTCTGCAGTATGACATTCAAGGGTCTCCACAATCTAGCCCCTGTGAACTTTCTTAGCCTCATTTCTCATCAGTGTCCACTTCACACTTTATATCCTAATAAGGAGTGAATATAAGACTAAAAACCAAACTGATCTTAATTCTCCAAACTTACCATGAGGCTGTTTAATGCCTATAACACCCACCAAACATCATTATTGACCAGGCAAACTCCGATTTTTCATTTAAAGACTTCAGACATTTCTTCTAGGAAGACTTCCATCACCCCAAACTCCTCCCCAGTACCCATTCCTGCAAATGCCTTACACACATACTTCAAATTTAACTGTTTATGTTGTTAACTCTTAAATGTCTTTCCCTCCGCAAGTCTCTTAGTTCTTTAAAGGCAGAGCCTTACCTACCTCTACACTCTCTGTGCCTGCGACAGCATCACGTCCCTGGATTACAGTAGATGTTCAGCAATATTTACTAAACTCAGTTTGAATAATCTCTGAAATATTTGAAACCTTAAGCAAGACCAGAATTTTAAAAACTCATGTCTAAATTGGGCTTATTTCAATCATTAAAAAACAGACACTCAAGTTGTAAAAGGGAGGTGGGAGTTGCCATTGTTAGAAAGCCACCATGAACTAAGGCCCTCTGGGAGGATTTTTCTGTACAGAGTTGCTTTTTTCTACTTTGCTTTCTCCGTTTCTGCCTCTTCACATCTTTCATTTGCACACAGTCAGTTCTGGCCTCACCAGACTCTCCCTGCAACTCTTCAGCTTCAGTCCCCAGTGCTGACCAATTTCATCTCCATGTTACCTCATTCAAACTTGTAAGGATTTTTTGTATTTGGTTTTGGTTTTTTGGCACCAGGCTAGCATGCTCTATTTTTTTTTTTTTCTCTCTCTGGCCAAGCTATGGATCAGCTGCCCTAGGGTTAGGTGCCGTGGCTGAAGCTCCAGGACCAATCAGCAAACATCCCCCCAACTCTCGATTCAAGATTCCTCTTGGATTTCCTCAGAACCATTAATTACTAAAGTATACTGCTAAAATAATCTTGCATTTCTTTCAAAAACAAGTCTTGCCGAGACTTGCTCACAGTGAGAAAAATCCTACACACGTCTTCACTGAACCAGCTATTTCAAATATGCAGAGTTAACAATCTTTTATTTCTAGATGTGCACAGAAGGAATCCTCTTTACTGTTATTACTGCTTGACAGCAGTGGATTGAAAATAATTTTTACAAGCTTTCTGCAAAAATTTCTGTACATATATACTGTAAAGAAATGAGCAGTCCAAATGTTGCCTAAGTCTATCCCGTAATATCAAGTAATTTTATATACGAATAAGCACATACATTGACAGTTTATCACTAACAAAACCTGTTCCTCTTCCTCCAAACTAATACCACTAGGCAATGATTGCAGGCCACTCACTGAAAACCTTCCATACTAGGGAAAGATGGGTGCAGACCATAAGAAGGGCATCTAAGTAAGACTTGGAGTTCAATAAAATTAAATTGCCAGTGCTATTAATCTCCTGCTTAAAAACTAGAAATTAATTGGCTGGATGCAGTGGCTCATGCCTGTAATCCCAGCATTTTGGAAGGCCAAGGTGGGTGGATCACTTGAGGTCAGGAGTTCAAGACCAACCTGGCCAACATGGTAAAAATTCGTCTTTACTAAAAATACAAATAAAAAAAAAAAATTAGCCAGGCATGGTGACAGATGCCTGTAATCCCAACTACTTGGGAGAGGCAGAGTCAGGAGAATCACTTGAACCCGGGGGGTGGAGGTTCCAGTGAGCTAAGATCATGCCACTGCACTCCAGCCTGAGCTACAGAGCAAGACTCTGTCTCCAAATAAATAAATTAATTAAATTAAATAAAAACTAGAAAATAATTAAGTATTTATTAGAGAGATACCTTGTTTTCACTAAGATCAAGTTTAACAGAGTAACAACACTATACTTTGAAAGAAGAGGGCTATTTATTCACTTAAAAATGCTGACTATTAAATGAGTCAACATTCACTGGAAAGAAATCTTATTAAAAAAGGTAGAAGGGGGCCAAGTTACAGTGGCTCACACCTGTAATCCCAGCACTTTGAGAGGCTGAGGTGGGAGGATCACTTGAGCCCAAGAGTTTGAGATCAGCCTGGGCAACACAGTGAGACCTTGTCTCTATTTAAAAAAAAAAAAGGGTAGAGGGATAGAGGGAAAGCTATATAATAATGGCCCTTCAGAAGATCAGAGAGAAAGAAAACTTTTTCAAATGCAGAATGTTCTTATATTTCTTGGTATAAAGGAAGGATTTTCTATTTTAAAATCAGGTAGGTGTTCTAGTTAGCCAACCTGTTTATTAACTATGCTTGTCCATGACTCATTTTAGCTTCATCTATATTAATGAGCAGCTGACTATGTAATACCACAACCATCAGTTTAGACTATATAAACACATAATCTTAACAGATCTCATTTCAGAGGACAGAAAGTTGGTACAATTTAGAGTGCTGATGTTGTCTTTAAATGAGAACAAAGGTACCATTAGAAAGTTTTCATTGCGCAAATACGAGTATACAATAGGCAAATGGTTATTTGCGCCTCAGCAAAATTTCACAGGTTCTAAAAAATAATGTTACCTTGAATGTCTTGAAAAAATTTTAGTAAAACACTAAAAAAGCTGTATGTCCTTATTCTCTTCTTTTTAATAACTGGAGCAATAAGCCAAGAAAATTTGCTATCTAAATTCATGAAGTACGGCAAGACTTGGATTTCTTCTCAAAGGAGAAGGTTACAGTGATTTTCATTTACTAACTAGGCCCATTTACATGTGTCAAACTAATAAAAATGGGAAAATAGAAATAAGCACTAATTTCTTACCTTTCATAGACTCACTGGAGAAGATTATCTCAATTTAGTAAGTCAAGAATTTATGTTACTGAAAGTCTTAGGGCCTGGCATAGTGGGTCATGCCTGTAATCCCAGCACTTTGGAAGGTCGACTCACAAATCATTTGAGGCCAGGAGTTTGAGACCAGCCTGACCAACATGGTGAAACATGTATTTTTAGTCTCTACTAAAAATACAAAAATTAGCTGTGCGTAGTGGCACGTGACTATAATCCCAGCTACTAGGAAGGCTGAGGCAGGCGAATCGCTTGAACCTGGGAGGCAGAGGTTGCAATGAGCTAAGATCCTGCCACTGCACTCAAGCCTGGATAACAGATTAAGACCCTGTCTCAAAAACAAACAAAAATAAAATAAAATGATAAAGTGAAACATCTCACTCATCACATTACAGGTAAGGGTTTTAAAAAAAAAAGCAAAGGAAGCTTTTTTCTCACCTTGCAAAGTTCATGGCTAAACATCCTCAAGGCAAAATAGCTCTTGTGACAACTACAAACTTTTAAAAAATATCCACACATTTCTTAGTACTGATTTAAAATCAAAATCTTCTTAATCAATTTTAACTGTGTTTTAAATACGAAGGTATCATACTGTCCAATATAACTCCCATATACTACCCCTGCATACTGTCAAGCTAATAATAAACAGGCCAGAGGCTTCATGGCAGCAAACTAGTAAGTCCTTACATCAAATCAATATAACATTTAGGGACTTCGATTTTCTTTGAAATCAAAACAAGAGAGGCAGTTAGAGTTTGCTATCTTCACTGATCCTCTCAGGAATGTAAAAGTATGCACCGCAATTTCAACCTCACACTGCTTGTTTTTTAAAGCAATTTACTTCTACCTGGACAAGCAGTAAGGTAAGCTAAAGGTTTTGTTACTGCTCAGTCTCCAATCTTTATGGTCACACATCTCACGTTTCTAATGCTCCTAAACATAATTGTCTCAAAAAACTTTCAAAACACAAGTGAATTCAAAGGAAGGGGGACACTTTGCGTCACTGATAGAAAACGATTTCACACAATAAACTTAGAACTGGGTTATTTCTTGTAACCATAGTAAGGGAGTGAATGAAGATCAGAGAATTGAAAACTGTGCCTAAGCTATCTCCTCACTTTGCAGTATCTCACCCTATCGGGTAGTTCTTGAAACAACACTGAGAAAGAAAGGCTCACAAAAATTTGACTTACATATAATACAACTTGATGAGACATAAGTATCCAGTGCACGTCCCTGAAAACGCATCGACTTGACTCTTAAATATAGCCCTATGTCTAATATACTGGCAGTACAGATACACTTCGTGAACACAACGGTGATGAAGGTAAATCTAAGAGAACCAGAGGCGTTAGGCCTGCTGGTAACCAAAAGGGCCAGCTAACTGAAGCAGTCCCGTTTTCTATGCCCACAGCAAACTGAGTTAACTAAGCCATCATAACTTGGAATTCTCAACTCGCAACCTCAGATACACCCAGACTTAAGGATGTAAGGCCCCTACAAAGCTCTCAGTAGGCCAGTCGCTCGTCCACACCAGGTGCACCTACTCTATCCCTAGGTTCCTCCTCGGACCCTACTCTGGCCCCCGCACCACCGCACCTGCGGGCGCCCCCAGTCCCGCGTCCCCTTGCTTCGCTCCCACCCCCACCACTCCGTCACTCACCCTGAGTCACCGGAGCCGCCCGCCCGCCTAGCCCAACCCGCCCACAACCCCTCCAGCCCCTCACCCTCCCCTCCTCCACACCGAGTGGAGCCGGCCTGTCCCCTCCCGCCCACCGCCCTGCCCCAGGAGACTCACCCGCGGTAGTACGCTTTCACCCGGACCTGGTGGGAATGGTCCCCGCTGCCGCCGCCTGCGACCGTGTGGGACATGGTGCTGGTGTCCCTCTGGGTCGGCATCTCCTCACTCCCCCGCCTCAACGCTGGAGGCCGGGGGGCGGAGGGGCGCTCCGGACGCCGTGGGGGACTCAGCCGCCCGCGCCTGTCCGAGAGCTGCGACCGTCCGCCCACCTACCTGCCCACCTCGCCCCGCAGCGCCGACCCAAGGGTCCCCTCGCCCGAGGAGCCGGAACCGCACGGCTCCTCCCACTGCCCGTAGGCGCCACCGCCTCCGCCGCCGCACGGGCCCAGGACACCTCCTGCCTCGATCCCTCCCACTTCGCTCGCTCCAAAGGCCCACATTCCGGGGTAGGGCGGGCGCAACCATCGAGCCAACTCAAGGAGCCTCGATGCCGGACTGAACCATCCTTACGGGGGCAGAGAAAGGGGACAGCGGAAATGGGAAACCCTGATCATGGTATCAATCACGCTCCGGAGGGCTGCTTTGACGCGAACTATAATATAGACACGAACAGCTCTAGTTCACTAGAAAGTCCCTTCCCTGCAGGGACAATGATAGAAACAAAGTCTGCGACACCTCACCCTAGCCTCGTAACTTGGTCACGTCTGCGGTCGGCCTGACTTGGCACCCGGGATAGATTTGCGTGCAGGTTTCTGGGATTTGGAGTCCTCATGGGATTCTGGGACTTGAGGTTCCTTGCGCCTAGGGTGCCGCGCAGTCCAGCTGGTGGAGTCTCTTCTCAGCGTGCTCCCTGGAGCTCTCGGGGTGGAAAACCTGCATCCGGCTTGGGCATATGAAAATACTGGGAATGACTGGGTTTCCTCACGTTCTAGACTTTATTATCTGATGAAGTCTCCCTTCTATTTGCATAAATCGTCTAAATTATACACGCCTTTTTGGAGAACAAGAATTTGGTTACCTGCTCACTAAGCGTAACCTTTTTTATGGAAATACTTTAATAACATATGTAACAAATATATTAAAGGAAGAAACTCAACCAGAAGATATGAAAAACCGATTTTTATTATTTGGCGGTCCCCATACCTAGGCACTTGTAGACTGCCCTTGCATGGAACAAGAGCATAAGGAATACTTACCCAATCAATTCGGTCAATCCAAGAGCATTTCATTCTGTTAAAAATTGGCTTGCCAGGCCGGGCGCGGTGGCTTAGCCTGTAATCCCAGCACTTTGGGAGGTCGAGGCAGGTGGATCATCTGAGGTCGTGAGTTCGAGACCAGCCTGACCAACATAGAGAAACCCCGTCTCTAACTAAATAAATAAATAATTTTTTTAAAACACAGTTTGGAAGGCCGAGGCGGGCAGATCACGAGGTCAAGAGATCCAGACCATCCTGGCCAACATGATGAAACCCTGTCTCTATTAAAAATACAAAAAATTAGCTAGGGGTGGTGGTGCGTGCCTGTAGTCCCAGCTACTCAGGAGACTGGGGCAGGAGAATTGATTGAATTCGGAAAACGGAAGTTGCAGTGAACCCAGATTGTGCCACTGCACTCCAGCCCGGTGATAGAGTGAGACTCTGTCTTAAATAAACAAATAAATAAAACTGGCTTACCAAGGATTAGAAAGAATTGTCCTTGTAGCCTGGTCTCTGACTTTCCTAGGGTCTTGGCTCTGACACATAATTTACACAGCAGCTACAGGTAGCATGCATCCAGCCCCTGCAGCAGTCCTGGTGCTGAAAGAGTTGGAATGATCAAAGAAATAGCTTTCTTTACAGTGATAAAATAGGCTTGGGGAACTGAGTCATCAGTTATATGTGACACTTTAGGGTGGTACGACATCATCCAACTGCTACAAACTTAGATTATATGCTCTTACTATAAATTACTCTTGAGTCAAGCAAAGTGCTACATGCCTGTAGTCCCAGCACTTTGAGAGACCGAGGCAGGAGGATCACTTGAGCCCAGGAGTTCAAGGCCAGTCTGGGCAACGTGGCAAGACCCATCTCTTAAACAAGTGAACAAAAACATCCCATTGAAAAACTTGGTATCAGGTTTTTCAGCAATTGGAGACCTGCATCAGCATCAGCATGTTTAATACGGAGCAATTAACTTGGAATATGCTAACTGAAAGTTTAGCATGCTGTGACAAACTTGTATTGCCTTAGAAAAAAGAAATGTTTGTCAGATAGGGAGTGAAAATTTATAGAGAAATGAAAGGTAAGACATGGGAAATGTTCTTGATCTTGATTCCTTAGCATTTGAAAAATCCTTTTTCATCGACTTCATAGCATGCTTTGGAGGTGAGCATTGTTTCCAGAGGAGGCTTACTGCTTACTTTGTCAGCTATGAGAATCTGTACATATTGATAATTTGCATCGATACCACTTTATAAATAAGTTTTCTTTCTCTGAAAGATGGGAGCTTTACTTGTGATTATCAGTGAAAGCATGATATTAAATTTTGTAATAGCTTTATTGAGATAGAGTTCACATGCCAGCTGGGCACAGTGGCTCATGCCTGTAATCCCAGCATGTTGGGAGGCCAAGGCAGGTGGATCACTTGAGAGCAGAAGTTCAAGACCAGCCTGGCCAACAGCGTGAAAACCTGGCTGTACTAAAAATACAAAAATTAGCTGGGCATGGTGGGGGGCGTCTGTTAGCCCAACTACTCGGGAGGCTGAGGCACGAGAATCGCTTGAGCCTGGGAGGTGGAGGTTGCAGTGAGCTGAGACCACACAACTGCACTCTAGTGAGACTCCATCCCTGGGCAACACAATGCACAATGAGATTCCATCCCATTTTGTTTTAAAAAAGATAATTCACATATTATGCAATTCACTCATTTAAAGTGTACAATTGGATAGTTTTTAGTATCTTCACAAAGTGGTGCAACCATCCCCTCTATTTAAACCCAGAATATTTTCAGCACCCCAGAAAAAACTGCATATCCATTAGCAGTTACTCCCCACTGTCCTCAACCTCTAGCAACCAATAATGTCTTTTCTGTTGTTATGAATTTTTCTATTCTGAACATCCCTAGTAGATGGGACTACAGGCGTGCCCCACCACACCTGCGTAATTTTTGTGGTTTTTTTGTAGTGCCAGGGTTTTGCCATGTTGTCCAGGCTGGTCTGGACCTCCTGGACTGAAGCCATCTGCCTGCCTCAGCTTCCCCAAGTGCTGAGATTACAAGTGTGAGCCACTGCGCCCAGTGAGGTTTTCAGTGTTTGTTTTTTTAATGTCCTTGCCAAGACTTGTCATTTCCCATCTTCTTTATCATAACCATCCTAGTGGTTATGAAGTGGTATCTCATTATGGTTTTGATGTGAGTCTCCCTAATGACTAATGATGTTGGGTATTTTTTCATGTTTCTATTGGCCATTTATATATCTTCTTGGAGAACTATTTATTCAGATCCTTTAGTCATTTTAAATTGGGTTGTCTTTTTTCACTGAGTTGTATGAGTTCTCTTTTCTTTCTTTCTTTTCTTTTTTTCCAAGACAGGATCTTACTCTGTTGCACAGACTGGAGTGCATGGCATGATCACAGCTCTTCAACTCCTGGGTTCAAGCGATCCTCCCACTTCAGCCTGCTGAGTAGCTGGGCCCATAGGCATATGTTAGCACACCCAGCTAATGTTTAAAAACATTTTTGTAGAGACTAGGTCTTCCTATAATGTCAAAGCTGATCTTCAACTCCTGGGCTCAAGTGATCTTCCCACCTTGGCCTCCCAAAGTGCTAAGATTACAGGTGTGACCCACCAGGCCTGGACAGAGTTCTCTATATATTCTGGAAATACATCTCTTATTAGAGTATTTGCAAATATTTTCTCCCACTCTCTGCATTATCTTTTCATATTTTTATGGTATTATTCACAGCATCAAAATTTTTAATTTTGGTGACGTCAAATATATCTATTTTCTTGTTGTCACTTAATGGTTTTTGTTTGTTTTACTATGTGCCAGACTATATGTTACTTATGTTTTTGTGTCATGTCTAAGAGGGCTTTGTGTAATCTAAGATCATGAAGACTTACACCTATATTTCCTTCTAGAAATTTTCTAGTTTAAACTCTTACTTTTTAGCTTATGATCCATTTTGGGTTAATTTTTGTGTGTAATATAAGTGGTCCAAATTGATTTCTTTGTATGTGGATATTCAGTTATCCCACCATCACTTGTTAAAAAAACTATTTTTCTCCAATTTAATTGTCTGCACCCTTGTCAAAAATGAAATGACAAAAATTTAAGGGTTTATTTCTGGAATTCAGTTCTATTCTAATGATTTATCTGTCTATCTTTCAACAATAATCACAGTGTCTTCATTGCTGCGGTTTTTTAGTAACTTTTAAAACAAGGAAGTGTGAGTCTTACAACTTTTTTTTTTTCTTTTTGAGGCGGAGTCTTGCTCTGTTCCCAGGCTGAAGTGCAGTGGCATGATCTCAGCTCACTGCAACCTTTCTCCAGAGTTCAAGTGATTCACCTGCCTCAGCCTCCCAAGCAGCTAAGACTGTAAGAGCATGCCGCCCTGCCCAGCTAATTTTTGTATTTTTAGTAGAGACGGAGTTTCACCATGTTGGCCAGGATGGTATTGATCCCTGGACCTTGTGATCAGCCTGCCTCAGTCTCCCAAAGTGCTGGGATTACAGACGTGAGTCACCGTGTCTGGCCCTGTTTTTTTTTTTTTTTTTTTTTTCTAGATAGTCTTGGCTATTCTGGATCCCTTACATTTTCATATGAATTTTAGGATCAACTTGTCAGTTTAAGACAGATGGCTCAGGCCAGGCGCAGTGGCTCACGCCTATAATCCCAGCACTTTGGGAGGCTGAGGCGGGTGGATCACAAGGTCAAGAGATCAAGACCATCTGGTCAACAAGGTGAAACCCTGTCTCTACTAAAAATACAAAAATTAGCTGGGCATGGTGGTGCACACCTATCGTCCCTGCTACTCGAGAGGTTGAGGCAGGAGAATTGCTTGAACACAGAAGGCGGAGGTTGCGGTGAGCCGAGATCGTGCCATTGCACTCCAGTCTGGGTAACAACAGTGAAACCCCATCTCAAAAAAAAAAAAGACAGATGGCTCAGATTTTAATAATGATTGCCTTGAATCTGTTAATCAGTTTGTGTGATTTTTGTCACATTAACAGTATTATACCTTCCAATTCATGAACATGGATAACTTTTCATTTATTTAGGTGGCTTTAATTGCTTTCCCATTTACAGAGTATACATTTTGCATTTCTTTTATTCTTAAATATTTTATTCATTTTAATGCTATTGTAAATGAATTTTTTTCTTAGTTACCTTTTTGGATTATTCACTACTACTGTATAGAAATGCAGTTTATTAGGCCGGGTATGGTGGCTCATGCCTGTAATCCCAGCACTTTGGGAGGCCAAGGGAGGTAGAT